AAAAAAAAAAAAAGAACATTTTATTACAAAACCTGAACTTCAGTTAGAAAATTTTTGGAGTCAAATAATGCTGTTAAAACAATTTCCAACTTAGATACTAGCAATGGGAGCTGACAAACCCAATGCCATATATAAGAGTAGGTGGCTTGGCCATGTCAGGACAGAATACAACGTAATCCTCACAGAGCTTCAGAGCAAGCGAACAGTCTTCCCAGTTACTGTCAAGAAGTCATCATCAGCCAGTGCACGCAGTGCTTCTTCAAACATATCTTTGGTAATTGCCTTTGGGGAAAAGTAGGAAAGCAAACATGTTACATGCAAAGATTACCCTTAGCTGTTGGAGACACAACAATTTCATAGTTAAAGGATCACCAGTCCCATTCCTTTTGGTGGTTGTATACATTTTTAAGGTGCTAATTTGAGGGGTGGCAAACATTTCTTATAAAGGGTCAGACAGCAAATATCATGGGTTCAGCATTTACATGGTCTTTCCAACTACTCCATTCTGCTGCCCTGTGGGATTGCAGCTGTAGATGGGAAGTGAGGGTATGATTGAAAGCAAAGGGACAGAGTTGGCTAATGGGGTTCTTTGCATTGAACAATTTAACATTACTTATTCACAAAATGACACCAGAGTCTTTCATTCCCAAAACATATAGAGTAGTAATTCTGATAGCCCTAAGATGTGTGATCCTAACACTATAGTACAGCAAAAACCCGCAAAGATCCTAAATGGCCAACAACTGATAAAATAAATGAAAGCCACTAAGTTACAAAATAATGTAACTATAATTGTCTAGATGCAGTTAAAAAAAAAAAAAAAAGCAAGGTATTAAGATGACACACCATGAAGCTATCTACAGTCACTGCAGCGCAATTTCAATCCTTGGCCAAGGTGTTGACACACATGTTGTGGCGGAACTATGTTTTGCCCACTGCTCCCCTCACGAGTGTGTTTCAGTCATCATGTCTGTTCTGCTACTGCTCTGTCTCTGTGAATCCTCTCACCCCCGACACCTCTGGTTTCTACCCCAGTTCTTATATGCATAAATAATCTTAAAAACAAAAAATCAAAACCAAAAACCCACATGCGTGCATATATACATACATGGAAAACTCTGATAGTGCAACAAAATTTTAACTGTGCTTAATTTTTGATGATGAGTTTATGTTACTTCTTTATCCGTAATACATTTATTAAACAATGAAGGAAAACTATTAAAAACTTAAGAAAATTTTATTTTAGGCAAAAAGAACATCAAAAAAATATAAGCAAATATAAACACTTACTATGTCAGATTGTCCCCGAATATCTTCAAAAAGCTGCTGGTATTTAAGAGCTGGTGTTTTGCCCTTGGCTAAAATAAGTTTTTTCAATGCTTCTGCTAACTCTTCTTTCCGTTTACGAGAGGTAGCACTCAGTCCTGAATTTAAAAGAAATTAATGAAAATTAATTAAATATAATACTGGTATTATAAGGAAGAGAAATATCTCAAATTTCTAGTAGTGTCGCCAAAAGGATAGGGGACAGTGGCTGAGTGCCAAAGTACAATTAAAATCATAGTAAGTTTTGATTTGTTTGCTGTTTCCAGTTTTCTCCAAGTAATAACTGTTCCTTGAAATGCAATCTATATAATTTATAGAATAAGCTTCAAGAAATGATTTACATATCAAGGACTAACATGGGGCAGCCGCTTCTCTGACCACCCGTGACTATGCAAGTGCTTCTTTCCACCCTCTCTCTTCCTCCGCAGGGCAACAGCATCCTGCCTGCCCGTGACGTCTACCATGCCGGGACTTCTCTGCACTGACCTCCCTCAATGGAGGACACTCTTCTAAGACCGCCTGACTGCAACCATGCAGGTCTCTTTCCCTACAAACCTGTCCCTTTCAGGGCAGCTCTTTCTGCCTGCTTATGTCATGTGTCTTTTCCTCGCCTGTCTCTTTCCAATGAACTTACTCTTAAAAGAAAAAAAAAAAAAAAGGACTAACACGGGCACTTAGGCAGAAGAGAAGCAAGAATCCCTTTTATGTTAGACGTTACTTTGGGGATGCATGCAAGTGTATATTTCTCACAGAAGTTGGTGTACATCTCTGCCAGGAGCTGCCAGATGGATCATGGGAAAGCCCAGCTTGCTGGTAGGCTAGCCTTGGTGTGTGACTATTAACATTTGGGGATATGACCACAGAATTCTCTTATGTGTAGGAATGTCTGGTTCAGGCGCAATCTGATTTGTAAATCGATAGGATGTTGAAGAACTATGGAAACCTGGTTTCCTTTGGTCTCACACTGGATCTATGTCATACCTAGTCACCCTTCTGGAATAAAATAAGGAATCCGGGGAGATAGAGAAAGGAGACAGCAGTTATATATCCAGGTTGCATGAAACTCCCATAGGGAAAGAAAACTGACCACTATAGATGAAGTCATAACACAAAAATACAAACATGAAATGATGCAACAAAATGTCAACAAATACAAAATATAGGAAGAACAGTTTTCCACACATAGCAGAATTACCTGGAATGCAACATAAGTGATGAAAATGCTTTTAAAGAGTTAGGTCACATGAGTTTAGTATAATGAAGACCATCATACGCTTAATAGGTTACTGGAAAAAAAAAAAAAAGAAAAAAGAAACCCAGAGGGAGCTCTGCTCCTTGTCTGCTTGTAATATTTTCTTTTTCCTAATAAGTCTGTCCTTTTAAAATGTAAAACAATAGCAACAAAAACACAGAGATAAGAGTCAAGAGATAATAATAATAGAATCTCTCAGAGTTGGTAACTATTAGCAATTTTCATTTAAGATTTCTGATGAGACTAAATTTTAAAATCAATTCCCAGGTTCTTCCTAGTGGCACAAGGTGTTAGACACGGCACTATGAAGCTATCAGCAGTCACTGGGATGTATTTGATTCCCTGCCAGGGAAGTGACCAACATGACAGAGCAGACTTCTCTCTCATCCACTGTTCCCCTCAGCAGTATGTTTCACTAGATCTACTTATTCTGCTCCCCAAAGTGTCTCTGGTGAATCCTCCACCAAGCCACCCCCGCCTCACCTCTGGCCTGTACCCCAGTGTTTCTATGTATAAATAAACAAAAAGTCAGTGTATACTTTTCTTGCAACTTTCAAAAGTGCCCTGATCCAAAAGGTGAAGAATCTGTTTAAAATGATTTACCTGTCAGCTTAAAGGTGAGCATCATTTGGTTATAAATTTAAATAATTACCACATGAGGTGAACATTATAACCACTACAGTGCAGAAACATGACAAAAATTTTCATGTGCCCCTAATTTCAATGCCAAAACAAACCTGTAGTAAGAATAGATATGTCCACAATGCCAGTCCGGGGGTCAGTTGCAGACTGCTTTAGAGCTTCCCGATGGAGGCGTTTTGCCTCTTCAACATCAATTGCTTCAACTTTGTTTGAAAACCGTACTTTAGCATGGGCTTCTGCTAATCGGATTAATGATTCCAGCTGTCGAGGGTATGCAGAAACCATTCCTCGGCTACTCCCGATCTTCCTCATATCTACATAAGCCTGCAGGATAAAATGAAACTCCTTAGTAACAACAATCTTAGTTTCATAGTTGAACTTTGAAGTTAGAATCCCATTAAATAAACTGAATCCTATTTGGCTGCACATACAGGTACTGATTTGGCCTTGAAAGAATAGAGAATGAGAGTGGGTGGAGAAGCTGGCATAAAGAGGACTCATCAGGAGCCTATTTTAAAAAAATGGTGTTTAGGCAGTGACTTCAGTTCATACTCTGCTAAATAAGAATTCATTTAATGGGGCATGCAAAGGGTTACTGGGACAGCTACAAAAGTAAGTTGTACTATTACTTACACATAACTTACTTATTCAAATAATTCTGAAGAATATAGTACACAGAAAATTACATGTAATCTGTGACTTTTATTTGAGCCTTTTTAGTTAAGAAAGTTAGCTAAGCATCCAGGAACTTTCTTAATATCATAATGCTTGAATAATCTAATCAATGCCATCACATACAACTATCCATGTAAAAGGATACTGAAATGTTAACAGAAAATATTTATAACTTATTTTATTTTTTAGAAATGAGAAACTGGGAAGCTCAGAGAAATTACTTATCTTGCCCAGAATTATAAAGTTACAAAGTAGCATCACCTATATTTTACGTCAGACATTTATAGTTAAATCTAAAACTGGTTTGTACAACCTCTATGAATCTTTTTATCCTTTCTACATTTCAATTTTGCAACATAGGATAAGGATACAGAAAATTGTATGTTATTCTTACCAAAATAATTTGTTTAGAGAGAATGACTGGCTAGTTACATAAATGAATTTGGCTCAGCAAAACACTTTTTCATTCCTTTAAACCCAGGAATGAATGTTACCTCAATGAGAGCCTGGCTGGCCTCCTGGCTCAGTCGAGGCATGACTGTGCTGTGGGCATAAGCAATGTAGTCCTTGAGCACAGCCATGTCCATGAACTCCTCCTCGACCTGTTCCTCACTTTGGTAGTACAGTGCCACAAGGTGGTGAGCAAGGCGCCTGTCATAGGCTTCGTCCTGGGGATCCAGCATGAGGAAGATCAAATCAAATCTGAAAACATATTGTAAAAATACTGTTTTCCCAGTTGAGACCAATATGCTTATAAGCATAATTAAAATATTACTCTTGAGTACCCAGGCATATACAGTGAACATGCCTTTAGTTAGTTTTACTGAGGGAGGGAAGCATCTTCTGATTGTTGCCTAAAGTGCTTCTAGATGGACCAGTTCATTTTCTGTCCCCAGAGGGCGCTCAACCTCCTAGTCCTAGGTCAGCCCAGGGACATGCCTACTCACCCAACAGCTGAGTCAACATAAGATTCTCTGGTAGAAAATGTTACTCTAATTTTGAGGAATGGAAGATTTTAAAGAAAATATATTTAACTCTAGTAAAAAAAAAGAATGGTTTGATAAATCACATCTACCATGTAAAGGAATTCTATTGAATGTCGATTCTGAGAGGATTTAAAACTGAGAGTGGTGAGTGACAAGCTTCTGAAAAGGCTGTTAAACTACAACGTCCTGCTTCAGAAGCTAAAATGTTCTGTTTCAGAAAATGAGTGTTAAGTAGGGAAACAAGCTTCCTGCCTTGAAAACCTGGTCAACCATTACTGATAACTTTTGAAATAGAATGTTGAATTTGTTAGTTGTCAAGTATTAGCCTTTCCTTAATTTCAAGATGGAAGTTCTACAAATGGGGCTCTCCCTGGTGGTGTAATGGGTTAAAGCTCTCTGAAGCCACTGCAGCATGAGTTCGATCCCCTAGTGCTGGGAGTGGCACACATGGCGCGGCAGACCATTCCTGACCCGCCTGCAGCTTCCCTCAGCAGCATATTTTAGTTGATTGGCCTGTTCTGCTCCCCACTCTGTCTCTGGTGAATCCTTTTCCCCCACTCCTATGCCTCTGGCCTGTACCTCAGTTCTGTAAGCATAAATAAATAAATCTTAAAAAAAAAAAATTCTACAAATGAACAAAGTACGAATATCTATTTTATACCTTGATAATAACGTGTGAGGGAGCTGGATATTTTCGATGGTAGTTTTTTTAGGATTCCATTGAGATTCAATAGGATTTGCTGCTGCGAGGACAGAAGTGCGTGCATTGAGCTGACAAATAATCCCAGCCTATCAAAGAAAACAGTGCAATTAGAAGCCTTACTCTCAAGGCTGGTAGAGCTGTCTTTGCCTGGTAAGTCCTCTGCTGTACTACCAGTCACCAAGAGTCACATATCCTTGTAAAAGTGAATTCAACATTCACTTGGGATACATCCTTCCCTTGGATTGATGCCAAGCACTGAGTTTAAGATAAATATATGCCATAAGTACCTTTCAAAAACACTAAACCCTGACTAAGATTTAGAAAAAGCTTCAATTCGACAAATGACACCTATCAGTGAATTTGTGTAATAGAACAGATGCAAGGGAATCCTGTAGAAAAGTCCCAAGATTTTGCTGAACTCTAACAGGAAAAATATTCATACATCAGTTTTCCAGTTAGAACTAAGGTATACTGCAGTTTCAGATGCTTTATTTCAACTGTCTGTTAATTCTGAATGTATCTAATAGGTAAGAATGAAGAATGTAACACACCTTTGCAATGGATAGTGTTTGTTGTTCCATGACTTCGTGTAGTACTGATCTTGTACTTTCATTCATCTTGTCAAATTCATCAATACAGCAGATGCCATTGTCACTTAGGACAAGGGCACCAGTCTGCAGGACCAGCTGCCTTGTTTCAGGATCTTTCATTACATATGCAGTGAGGCCAACTGCACTTGAGCCCTTCCCAGATGTATACTGGCCACGAGGAACGAGGTTGTACACATATTGCAGTAGCTGGGACTTGCTGGTTCCAGGGTCACCACATAGGAGGATGTTGATTTCAGCACGAAATTTGCCCCTTCCTGTGTGACTAAAATCCTTTCTTGTTCCACCAAAGAGCTGAAGCAAGATTCCCTAAGCAAACAAACATGTCAAACATTTCATTTACTACAAGGTAGCTGAGAATGAGTTTAAATTTTAGAAATTAAAGGTATATAGGAGCCTCCCTGGTAGCACTATGAAGCTATCAGCAGCCACTGCAACACAAGTTCAACCCCCATCCCGGCCAGGGCGCTAATCCACATGAAGCAGCAGACCCCTCCTGTCTTGCCCATTGCTCCCCTCAACACTGTATTTCAACCTGCCTGTTATGTTCCCCTCTCTGGTGAATCCTCTCACAATCCCTTTCCCACCTGTCCTGTATTACGTTCTTATATGCATAAATAAATCTTTAAAAAAAGAGATAAAAAAGATTAAAGGAATAAAAATGTGATAGTGCTTGCTTTAAGTTATTTAAATATGTACACCATGTAGCTTTTCTTAATTTAGAAGAATATGTATTAAGTTGGTGTGGACAGGAGGAAATTGTCAGCAGCAATCTATCTCCTCAACCAATAACAAATTCAAGATGTGAATAATTTGCTTTGTCAAATAGTTCGCAACTCTTATCCTGTATGGGTAGAACAAATGTTAATACCATTTGATCCCAAAGAACTATATAAACCCAACAAAAAAAACACTGTTTACCTTTTTTATATCTTCATGTTCATAAATACTTGGAGCCAAGGCTGAAGCAAGTCTTTCATAAATGTCTGGTTTCCTGGAAAGTTCCTTAAGCAGTTCCACACGTTTCTCTGAAAAAAGTTTCTGTTCTGCTTCTTCATCAAGGCCATGCAGACGTTTTGCATCCGTTTTCCGATAATGAATGACATCAATGTGGGTTTTGTAGACAGACTTCACATTACTCACTCTTGGATTGACTCGAATAGGAACAGCTCGATAGATGCCTAAGAATATACCATGAGTTGTACATTTACCTCCCACTAAGGGCTTTGTAGAGCAGTGCACAAAAGGAAGCACTGAGGAACACTGAGGGTAGACTTTGGAACAGGTGCACACCAGAGTACACTGTTTGCAAGGATCCCAGAGCTAACTCGGGCACACTTTTAACCTCCCTATGACAGAAGCAGGACTAATTGGAAAAAAAAAAAAAAACAGGTTTCTGAAAAAGGCAGACCTAAAAATGTGTTCACCAGTGACCCACCTCCTTAGCTCTACCTGCTCAGACACCTACTTGAGTGTAATCACATTGCACATGATTATTCTGAGGCTTAGATGAAATTACTCTGCTTCTAGCACAATGACTGGCTCATGGTTATGTTCAAAGCAAAAGTATCTCCATTTTTCTTAAACTCAGATTTGACTGGAATACAATACTAAAATTTTATTATCAAAACCTGAGCGGGAAATTCTAAAACCTCAAATCTTTAGACACTCTATCAAGTGCATGAACAGTTCACCGAGTCAAAGGTAAAGATATTACGAAGGAAAAATTATTCCCCCTTAATATTTAACCAACATCTACTGAAATACACTGCGCAAGGGATCAGCTGGCAAGGAGAGGTCTGCTGTGCCATGTGGGTCAGCTCTCTAGCAGGGGATCAAGCTCCTGCTGTAGTGTCTGTGGGTAGCTTCATAGTGCTGAGACCTAAATCCTTGCACCACCAGGAAGACGTAATGTCTGCTAATTTTAATAAATATTTTATAAGAACTGTCTGCTATATAAATGTTGGGAATTTGTCATTCTGATTTGCTTTACTATATGTCATTCACTCAAATCCCTTCCGTTTGCTGTAAATGGCAACTTCATCTTTCCTTTGCTATACAATATTTCATTGTGTGGATATATCACATATTCTAATCCAGTCCTCTACCAGTGGACACTTATGTTCTAGCTATTGTAAATAATGCTGCAATAAACATTATAGAGAATATATACTTTAAGGTGATGGTTTCATATTCTTTGGATAGATGTGAGAGTGGGGATTACTGGGTTATCCAGTATCTATTTATAGTTTAAGGTAAATCAGACTGCTTGCCAAAATGGCTATACCAGGTTATATTCCTACCAATTATGTAATAAGAGTCCCTGTTTCTCCATATCCTCTCGAAAATGACTATTTTATAAAAAAAGAGGGTGAATGGTCATGGCTCATTATGCTTTCTTTCTTTAAGATTTATCCTATTTATTATATAAGAAATGGGGCATAAGCTAGTGGTGTGGGAGGAGAGGGGCCCTGAGAAAGAGTTGAGAGCAGAACAGGCAGATCTATTGAAATACACTGATGAGGGGACCAGTGTGGCAAGAGAGGAGGTCTTGCTCTCTGAGTCAGCTCTTTGACTGGAGGTCAAGCCTATACTGCAGTGAGTTGTGATAGTTTGATAGTGCAATGATTTTAACCCCTGTGACACCAGGGAGGGCCCCTATTACACTTTCTGAAGAATTTAAGAACATTAAAAGAAGTAGGTGATCTATTCTTCAACCACATCAACTTACTTATTCATTTTCCAAGAAGAAAAATTTCCCAAAGTGGTATAGCTCATGTTTTACCTTTTTTGAGTTTCTAACTAGCTTTGAGTGCCAACAATTCAGTTTTCTGCTGCTTTTTGAAGGGAAAATATCCATACTTGTGCGCACTCTCAGCTTTCTCAAGATGCTGCCACTGATTACCTTACCCTTCTGTTTATCTTACAGGTCAACCAGTTTATCTTTTTAAAATATAAAAAAATAGGGCACACAGGTTAAAGCACTGCACTATGAAGCTGTCTGCGGCCACTGAAGCTTGAGTTCTACCCCCGGCCAGGAGGGGTGACTCACATGGTGTTGCAGACTTCTCCTGTCTTACCTGCTGCTCCTCTCAGCAGTATATTTCAGTAAATCTGCCTGTTCTGCTCCCCACTCTGTCTCTGGTAATCCTCTCATGCTCCACACCTCTGTCCAGTACCCCAGTTTTTGTATGCATAAATAAATAAATCCTAAAACAACAACAACAACAACAAAAAAAAACCACATACACACACCTAAAAAGCAGTGTGTCTATAGGTAAATATATAAACAGACTATACATACTATTCATGCCCACACAGATAAGGGGCAAATGATTACACTGAAATTAGTCTAGTTATCGTCAATGGTGATTTATCATGACAGAACAGCATTGTTAATACTTATTTTACATTTATATAGTTCTTTTCATGGCCACCTCTTCCCTAACACTTTTAAATGTATCATCACATTAATTCTACTCAGTCTTTGAACTGGAACTATACATTTCACTAAAGGTAACAGGCCCTTTTACATTTTGACTGCTACCTGTATGTTTTAAGACTATTAGTAACAACTGCTGGAGTGGAGTCACAACTGAAGGGACAAAGGATAAGAATCTGACTCACTGAATAGAGCACACAGGTAGTGTCAACCTTCACTTAAATCTCAACAGACTGGAGTCCCATGTCTTATTCTGTAATCTGTACCCCACTGTCCCCAGACCCAGCCAAGCAAAGAACATTTTCTTGGCATAGAGGAAGAGTCCAGGGAGCCAGAACAACCATAAAGCCTTCGGTACAGGATCTACATGTTTCTCTATCTGAGTTTGTTCAGCTCTAAAAAGACCTTAAATCTTTACACCCCTGGTGGTGCAAGGGATTAAGACTCAGCACTATGAAGCTATCTGCAGCCACTGCAGCAAGAGTGTGATCCCACCCAGGAAGCTAACCCACATGATGCAGCAGACCTCTCCTGTGTTGCCTGCTGCTCCCCTCAGTAGTGTACTTCAGTCTGTCTGCCTGTTTTGTTCCTTACTGTCTCTAGTGAATCCTTTCATCCCCTGCACCTCTAGCCTGCATCACAGACCTTCTATCTAAAAATAAATAAAAAAAAATTTAAAGATTTATTTATGCATACAAGAATTAGGATACAAGTCAGAAGTATGTGTGGGAGGAGGATTCACCAGAGACACAGTGGGGAGCAGGTACACTGACTAAAATACACTGCTGAGAGGAACTGCGGGTCAGACAGGAGAGGTCTGCTGTGCCATGTTGGTCATCTCCCTAACTAGGGAACAAACTAGTGCCGCAGTGGCCGCAGATTGCTTCATAGTGGTTAGTCTTAACCCCCTGTACCACCAGGGAGGTCCCAAGTTAATAAATTGTAACTTGTAGCTGCATACTTGGGAAGTATGTGGAAAATCACTTAAAACCCCAGAGTTGGTAAGCAATATTTTCAGTAGCTGCTGGCACAATTCAAATATTCCCAACACCAACCTTGTTCGAAGCTAGTTTCTAAAGAGACCCTCACTACTGAGTTAGGAAACATACAGTTTTGGAACACCGAGAGCAAGAAATAAGGAATTGTAAGGATAATAAATACACTGGAAGGTTCTAACCTGGGAGGTAGAAAAAGGGGCTAAAACATCATATCCCGTCTTCTCAAAACCTGAAGGTACAACCAGCCCCAGTCAATGAATTCACTAACAGATCAAATACTAAAAACAAGGTTGATTTATTACATTAACAACCAACACTCTTACCTGTAACATTCACTCTGTCCCCAGGTTGAACCTTGTCAACAAGATCATTATGCGCAAAGAGGATGACAGTGTGAGGCGTTTGCCCTGCAGGCATATCTTCAGGAGACTCTTGAAGTTTGATCTGAAAGAAGAGCAATGAAAACATGAAGCAAAATGGGAACAAAACTGTGTGTTTTCTACAGCTATTTTCTGATACCACCTTTACCTCTAAGAATAGTATGCTTTGTTTTAATCACTAACAGTTAAAAAAAATAAGGCTTTAATGTGGCATGTGAAAGACCAAATTGACGCCATGACAGGCTTCAGAATGCTTCTGAACCAGCCAGTCTAAGTTTCAGTTATCATCAAGGCGCCAAGGCCGAATTTAACTGTAAATGTCCTAATCTTGCTCATCCCATAGCAACAGCCAATTAGCAAGTAGGCAAGTAACCAGTACATATTAGAAAAACACCAGATGTCCTAAGTATGCGGGCTGAGTAGTGAAGGTCACATCTTACATGAATAGATCAACCGGGTTAAGACAAGATAACTTTGTTCAATGTCCACCAATCAATGTACTGCTGAGCAAAAACTCCCCTCTCCTGGCCTGAAACTCCCCTCTTCTGTAATAAAAACCTGGCCTTCCCTGAGCTCAGGGCTCTCAACTTCTGCTCCTGCGCCGCTGCCTGTTGGGAGCCCAGGCTCGAGCTTGCAATAAAGACCCTCCTGTGCTTTGCATCGCAATTGGCAACTTGGTGGTCTTTGGGAAACTCGAAAACTGGCACAACAGCATGAACATTTTGTAAGGATGCGTAAGCACTTCTCTGATGGAGGTGAGACAATGAGGTACACGATTGTCCTCTTTTGCCTCTGTAAGGTATTAATAGATATGTCTTTTCATAAATGCTACATTACTAATTATTTTTTTAAAGTTATTTTACTAGGTTTCCTAGGTAAAGCACTTGCTTTTCAGGTTCACAGCAAGTACCTCTGTCCATCCTTGTAGTCAATGTGTATACCTAACAAATACTTCCCTCCTAAGTCCTATATCCTTTTATCTAAGGGTTCTGTTAACACCTGCCACTTACTGGACCCTGCAGGTGTTCTTTTCAATGAAAGAAATTTGTCTGTCATAAAGAGGGTAGAAAGGATTATACACAAACTCATATGAGCAAGTAACAGGTTTAAGTGTAACAAATGCAGTAAACTAGGCCAAGAAGGCAGGTTCCAGACTCCAGGGATTATAATGAAGATGAATGACATTAAAAAAAAAAAAAAAAAAGAGCAATTAAAATTAAGGGGAAAAAAGAAAAAAAGCTGCTTTTTCATAAAGCAAGGTTAGGGAATTTCTGTATGTCCTCACTGGAAAGAATAATACAGGGAACCTCCTTGTGGTGCAAGGGGTTAAAGCACAGCACTATTAGCTATCTGCAGCATGACTTCAATGCCCTGCCAGGGAGGTGACCCACATGGCATAGCATACCACTTCTGTCTCACCCAACGCTCCCCTCAGCTGTGTATTTCAGTCAACTCACTTGTTCTGCTCCCTACTGTTTCTAGTAAATCCTCTCACCGTCCCTGCACATCTGGCCCATACCCCAGTTCTTGCATGTACAAATCAATCAATCTTTGGGGAAAAGAAGGAGCAATAAATAAAAGGTTCTCAGAAAGGCTTGTGCCAGACTGAGAAGCCATGAAAGAAATGATTGAAACAATATCAAGGAGATCTGTGGCCACAAAAGTGTGTTGTGGGAGATAGCAGGTCATGACGGTGTAGAGTCTACTCTAAGATATTAGTCTTTGGTGTGTGGAGGTTCCTCAAAACACTAAAATGAGTCTACCATATGATCCAATGATTCCACTCTTAGGAGTCTACTTACCCAAAGAACACAAAAGCACAAATTTGAAGGAAAACATGCACTCTGATTTACTGCAGCACTGTTTACAATAGTCAAGATATGGAAGCAACTTAAATGTCCCAAAAAAGATGAACAGATCAATAAGATGTGCTATATATATATGCAATGGAATACAAGTTAGTGATCAAAAAAAGATAAATTCATCCTATTTGCAGCAACATGGATGGAGATGGAAGGGCTTATACTAGGTGAAATAAAATAGAAGGAAAAAGATATATATCTGATAGATTCACTTATGTGTGGAATATAGAGAAACCAAACAAAGGATCAGGGGAAAAAGCTTACAAGCTGACTATCGATCTGAGCCATAGAAGAAGGGAAGAAGAGAGGTTAAAACGCAGGAAGGAAGAGCACAAGGGACTAATGATGATGATTCATGGGTCTATGGGGAATACAGCTGAGGGGAGAAAACAAATACTGTGCAAAAATTAACAGAGATGTAAAAAAGATGTTAGGCTTTACTTCAACTCAGTTTGCGAGTTTTTAAAGTATTCTGTAAATACAGACTACCTGTTCTTAGGGAGTAAGATTTCTACCAGTTTCTAGTTCACAGCATTGAGCTGGCAACATGTGAGGTATAGTTGTTCTGTTAACTTGTATAAATGTTAGATGAAAATTATTTATATTAATTTTATTTAAATTATTTAGTTATAAAGTTAATCACTTTTTTTGCATTTGGTAGTATTTTCCTTATTGATGTCCATTAAAGAAAATTAACAGTATTTAATTTACAACATTTGAGGTATAGTTGTTCTGTTAACTTGTATAAATGTTAGATGAAAATTATTTATATTAATTTTATTTAAATTATTTAGTTATAAAGTTAAACACTTTTTTTGCATTTGGTAGTATTTTCCTTATTGATGTCCATTAAAGAAAATTAACAGTATTTAATTTACAACATTTCTAATGCAATCTTTCTACTTAACATAAAAAAAAACCCTTAAGTCCTTGTGCATAACTTTGCACTATTATCATCATAAATAATTTTCTGCTTTCTCTTACTTATTTCTACTATGAATAATTTCATCTTAAAATCTGCACCATTATGCTGGGAAAACTGGTAAGCTACATGCAAAAAAATGAAACTAGATCACTACCTTACACCATGCACAAAAATCAACTTGAAGTAGATTAAAGACCTAGACGTAAGAATGGAAACCATAAAATACCTGGAAGCAATGATGGGCCAAACACCACACGACATACACTTCAGCGACATCTTTAAAGATACAGCATCCAATGCAACAATAGTGAAGGCAAATATAAATAGATGGGACTACATCAAGTTTAAGAGCTTCTGTACAGCAAAAGAAACATTACAAAAACAAACAGACAGCCCACAGAGTGGGAAAAAATTTTCTCACACAAAACTAGCGATAAAGGGGGCCCTCCCTCCGTGTGGCACAGTGGGTTAAAGCACAGCACTGATCAACTAAAGCCACTTCAGCATGAGTTCGACTCCCACCTGCCCCGGAGGTGACCCCCGCTGCTCCCCTCAGCAATGTACTTCGTCGATCTGCCTGTTCTGCTCCCCACTCTGTCTCTGGTGAAGCCTCTCGCT